TGGCGACTTCTGTGTGTGTAAGCTCTTCAAGGCAGGGACTGTTTTCATTGTTTGTAAGACATGTAGCACAGCACAGTCCTGGTTCTTGACTGGAACACCTACATGCTAATTTATAACTATTATTACTGAACGGCTTTTCTGTGTCAACCAATCTTTCATAGTAGCCTTTCAGTTTCTTTAATAGACCAACTTGGAAGCACTGCAGTAGCCTGACATGGCCTGTTGTAAGATTCTTATTCTGTTGGGGTAAGTCTACACTAGCTCCCTAGTTAGAAGTAGGGAGACTAATGAGGGTTACCGAAATTGCTAACGAAGTGCGGGATTTAAATATCCCACGCTTGATTAGCATATTCCCGGCCGGTCGCTATTTTGGAAACTGACTAGCCCGAAGTAACTGCCTGCGTCAATACACGGCAAAGAAGTGGGATTCCGAGATAAACCCCTTAGTTTGAATTAACTGTTACTCCTTGTGGAATGAGGTTTAACAGTTAATTCAAACTAAGAGGTTTATCTCGGAATCCCGCTTCTCTACCACATATAGATGCAGGAAGTTACTTCAGGCTAGTCAGTTTCCAAAATGGCGACCAGCCGGGAATATGCTAATCAAACACAGTATATTTAAATCCCGCACTTCATTAGTAATGTGGTCGCCCTCATTAGCCTCCCTAGTTTGAACTAGAGGGCTACTGTAGACATACCCTTGCTTTATATCTTTGGCAAACTTGAATCATTTGGCTGAGGTCTTACATTTGAGTGGGGTTTTTTTGTTTGAAAATTTTCATCCAAAAGAGAGTTCAGAATAGAAGGCGGGGGATTTTTTTTTCCACATTACAAAAACTTTGGTAACCTTTACTTGAAAGCTTTAGCACTCCTAGGCTTTGGAGCAGGGATTTGAAATTTGGCTGGGAAGTGGGCTTTTATGTCAGGGATTTTCCCTGTGAAAATCTGCCCATATTTGGCCAAGTTCTAAACCTTTGAAAAAAAGCACATGCTCCGAAGAGACTTGTCAGGGTACCATAGTTAAATTCTCCAAAGATTCTGTCTGCACTGAGCATGCTTCAGCCCAGGCTGGGTAGGCTTTCCTTGAAATGGTAACTCTAGGGTATTGTGGGCTGGGGATGAGCAGCAGAACTCAGATCAGGATTCTCAATCCCCAATGAAGATACTCAGGCCAGTTGCACATTTCCAGAACATCAGACATTGGGTGCTAACGGATATCACACTGGCCTGCTCCTGCCGGAATGATCCTACCTCCACTGGCATGACTTCACACTCACAGTACATATGAGGTCACAAGGGATGTCATTTGGAAGACCAGGCATACCACTGGCATGGCTGTGCATGCCTGGTGTGCACAAGAGGTCATTGTACATTCTGAGGTCTCCTATCTTAGATCAGACAAACCTATGACCGTTTGTTTTCTCAGTACCAAATGTAGGACAGACATTACAAAAGCAGGACTGCCTGGTTTAAAACCAGAGGAGTGGCCTGCCCACCAGGCAGTGAAAAGGCGGAACCTGCCTGATCCAAATGCAGAGGGAACAATGAGCCCCTCCTTTCCCTCCCGCCATGAGCCCATCTGCACCCCTGACTGGCCCCCTTGCCGCTGAATTCCCAGCCAGGCCTCTCTCCCAGCTGCCAGGGCTCTATGAGTATGTCTAGATTACATCCCTCTGTCACCAAAGGGATGTAAATTAGACATACCAAAATTGCTAATGAAGAGGGGATTTAAATATCCCATGCTTCGTTAGAATAAAAATGGCAACCACTTTTTGCCGACGTGGCAATTCACCAGAAAAAAGCGGCAGTCTAGACGGGGATCGGTCGACAAGGAAAGACTTTTCTGACCTATCCTGTAAACCTCGTTGCACCAAAAGTAACGGACATTTTTTACTTAAATCTCTCATTGCAGGAGCTCCCCATCAGTAAAATGGGGATAATACCATCCTCTCATTCCACAGGGGTGATGAAAATATTAACTAGCATTTTTGAAGCACCCTCATGCTACCTTTGTGGAAAAGTCAAAGGCAAAATTAATAATTCTGCCTTCTCAGCATGGTTTGATCATTGTGCAGTAAATAAAGTGTAGAACGACACATTAAACAATGAGGATAAAAATACATTTTAAACAGCTGTTCAGAAAACTAACTTAATCCATCATGGTGCAGCCAAAGAGGCGGGGTTCTGTGGACTAATAGTATGTAATCATGTAATTAAAGACTCTATCATTATATATACACTCAGCAAGGCCAAATGACTTTGCAGCCAGAACAGCATGGATTTTTGGGGTAGTATTAATAGAAGGGGACTCTTGGTTCTATTTTCATGTGTGTTCTATAAACATTAATATTGACTGTTATTTAAAAAGCATAAGTGCTGATGCATAATTACTTTCATACTATTACACACGTACATGGAAAACATATCTTGGTGTTGTCATGAATCAAACTCTGCTCAGAGCCATATGTTGCTTCATCTGAGTACTGTATTAGGTATTTTGTACCTGAATCTTACAATAAACTAGAGTATGCTATTATTTTGCTGGATTAATATATTTTGCCTCTTGCAGACCTGAACTCCTATATTCCCAGTTTGGATCAATATCAAGATTCACAGACTGAAATAAAATATCTGGCTGGTAGCAATGGAAAATATATCATCCATTTTTAATTCAAAGTTATGACGCTGGAGTTCATGTTCATTTCTTCTAAAATTTTCACTGTCATGGGTCATTTCTTTTTTCCAATATGTACATTTTCAGAATAGTTTAAATCCCTGGACTGCATTTAAAATTTCATTATGTTGCTCTTGATCATAAAAAGGTACAATGAAAGTTTGCTGCTGGTTTTTGAAGCCTCTCTGTTTAGCAATGACTCCTACATAGATCTACTTGTTCAGACATTTGGAAGTATGGCTCCCTACTATATTTTATTAATCTCTGGGAAGGCAGTCATTAATATGGACTGGAATCCTATTTTAAACTCTAATACTTATCAAAAATTGTAGTTAGGAAGTGAAGTTAACTGCACCTGCTCTATATCTTTGTAGTGGCCAGATAATATTGTTCAAGGAATACAATTTAATAGAACACTATAATTTTAGAAGTGTTACATATGAAGCACAGTTTCTATTGAACATGGATATTGGTGTATTTTAGCTGCCAAAACTCCCCCATCTAAAACAAATGTTATAAAATGGAAATTTCTGCTTCAGTTCAAATTAGAGTTCAAATATGTATCAGGTTTTTATGAAGCTTGTATTTTTTTTATGGGAATGAATGCAGCAAAATTTAGGAAGTTGTTCCCATGAAAGGTGCAATGTAATTCACCAGTAATGTATTAAATTCAGTGAAAACACACATCGAGGAGTACCACCAGCAGCTAGACCACCTGAATGAAGTGGCTTTAGGTATGTTTTCTATAAGATTTTTTACTGAGAGCCAAGTTTTCCCAGACCAAAAATAGGATGGGCGATATGCCAGCGCATGAGGGAGAAATACAGACTTCCCCATCGTAGACATACTCATGCGGATCCTTGGCTGGTATACTTGTCATAGCCGCCCTCATCCCTTCAGTCTTCTTACCAGCAACTGCAGTTGCTGTGGGTTTGCTGTGTTAGGATAAGCATTCAGGAGTACTTATTCAGAGACAAAATGGCCACTTTGTATTCCCAAGATCTAAACACAAGAGAGATATCTTCAACCACTTCTACACCAGGCCCTTATCCATGCTTCTCCTTCACTCACTCAGGGTATGTCTACACTACCCTCCTAGTTCGAACTAGCGGGGTAATGTAGGCATACCGCACTTGCAAATGAAGCCCAGGATTTGAATTTCCCAAGCTTCATTTGCATAAGCGGGGCGCCGCCATTTTTAAAACCCCGCTGGTTCGAACCCCGTGCAGCGCGGCTACACGGGGCATGAACTAGGTAGTTCGAACTAGGTTTCCTAGTTCGAACTACCGTTACTCCTCGTGGAATGAGGAGTAAAATGGTAATTCAGGGAAATTCAAATCCCGGGCTTCATTTGCAAGTGCGGTATGCCTACATTACCCCGCTAGTTCGAACTAGACCCTCAGACTCCAATTCAGCAAGACATTTAAATCCCATTGCTTCAGTGCTAAATACCCTGCTGAAATAGCTGTCAGGGTTGGAAAAGATGAGCTAGCTTAGCATCCTTCACAACACAGGACATTGAATTTCACTCAACCTCAGAACTTTTGACTTCAAGCCAGAAGCTGAGTCATTGGAAAAAATGTCCGGTACCCACCCAGAACTTCATTTAATTCAGGGATCCACATTTTAAAGCGGCATTTATTCTAAATAACCAGGGAACATGTGGGGTAAGACCACATGGAGAAAATGTGTGTCATGGTATTCTTGGTGCCACCTCATATTAGCTGAAGGTGTTTCCACTTCCTGAACTTGATCTAACTCTCACTGAACTCAGTGGGCTCTTTCCACTAGCTTTCAAGAGTTTTGAATCCTGAACATATGGCATGCACTGTTTCACCATTTTCTCTTTTGTGTGAAGTGCCATTCCCAATAAGGTTTGCCCAAATCACACCACTATTGGAACCATGACATTTTGATGCTTCAGAGGGGCATTATATCCACAGGAGTTATTTCTGAATACAGGGTATCCCTGCTATAAGTTACCCCAGTATACATCTGTTCTGCACTAAAGTTGTTGATGCTTGTAGGAATTGACGCATTATAAGTCCTCCCATTCCCTGCTCTTAAGTTGTGCAAAATAAAACCCAGTTTGCGCAAATGGAAGTCAGCTGTGGAAAGAAATTCCCTGCTTTAAGTTGTTTCACTATAAGTCCAAGTTTTTTGGAATGTGTCTTGGATTTATAGTGAGGAGTGCCTATATTCTTTCAAAAAAGGAACATGTAAATAAATACTCTATTTAGAGGTCTTTTAAAAATTCTTGGCTTTCTTAATTATTCCAAAATTGCATTTTTAATTCCCCTGTTTTTTCCCCCTCTAAACTCTCTAGATCCTGTTACAAGGCAAAAATCCAGGTATTGTTTGGGAATATACATTCCCCAAGATCATCAATGAGAACAAGACATCCGTCAAAAGACCTAGCTACTCCTGGATGACAGTGCAGTCAGACTGCTCAGCTTCCTGTGGTGGGGGTAGGTAGCTCTCCTACATTCCATCCTTCCTTTCATTCCTTTTTAATCCTCCACACTCCACTCCAGATCACTACAACTGGTAATATTAAAGATCTAAAACATCACATTCTGAACATGTATAAATTTAATCCCAAGTACTTGATTTCATCAGCGTCTATTGCTGGAAGTCCACGTAGCTGAATTATAAACTTTTTCTCTTTTGCCAGGAAGTATTTTATTATGCTTACATCATTTATTTATTTTTTCTAAATCCTGGAAAATCTGCCATTAAACCTAGTTCTGGGTCAAAGAGTGGAGACAAGCAGCAGGCATGTGAGAACATGTAGAAAGAAAATCTGAGACTTGTGTGACTATTTTGTATGATTGACATATTTTCCAACAAATCTGTGGAACTATTCATGTAATAAGGTACTATTCAACATGAGTAAGGATATGAGGATCTGGCCTTCTGAGAGTAGAATACAGGTAAAATCTCGATATTAAAAAAAATACATTATGAATAGCCAGAAATGACTCCCTTTTCCAGGTTTCTCTTTGTTGTGCCTGCAGACTCCATGTGAAGTGACAAACTAGAAAAGAACAATCCATAGAATGCCCTTAAATCATTTACAGCCCTGAGTGAAATCGATGGACTGTCTGTACATGGACTAAGCCTACTACATGTCCCATAGAAGGTTTCAAAGGGATTATTTGTGTGAAGTAGGGTGAGAAGAGTTTGGCTCAGAATTCATGCTCTTGCGATCAAGAACAAACAGCTGTTGTGCACATTTCCCATAGTGCTAAAATTTCTTCATCAATTTAGAAGGCCTGGAAGTTCCAATAGTTTGGGTTCAGATAAATGCAATTTTGCTATGATTAAATCTTAATATGTTGAAATCATTGGCAAAGTTCACAGTGGACTTTTCCTAGCAAATGTGGTTCAAAGTAGATATTCACCACGAATAGCAGTCTCAGAGAATGTAAAGATAGCGATGAGGACAGAATAAAAAGTTCACTAAAAGGTTTGATGGAAAGTCTCCAAACAATAGAAATTTTCCCTCCTCGTTTTGCAGGTAGAAAGAATTCAAAGAGTAGCTTGGTGTTTGAGTCTTAAATTTTGCAGAGATCTACCTGTGGTTTTAAATTCTGCTATCATTCTCTTTGTCATAAAAAATGTTATACCTGACTTCAGGGACAGCCATCACACCAGTATTGCAGAAAAGAAAATTAACATTAATACAAGTGGCAAAATTGCCCTCTCCCATGTCAATCCAATGACATCTGTGGAATTCTACTCGGGATGAGTTTGGTCTATGTTATTTAACCTTCTACACTATTACCCTAGGTATAAGTATCAGAGAAAATATAATAATGTATCTTATTGTATTTCTTTTTTATATCTCCATAGGGTACATTACAGCAAAAGCTATTTGTTTACAAGATCATCGTATACGAGTTAATTCCTCCTTCTGTGGCCCGAGAACAAAGCCTTTACCCGAAATAAAACTATGCAATGCTAATCCCTGCCCAGCATAGTAAGTGTTAGTTATTTTTGTGGCATTATCTTGGATTTCTGTTTGCCATACTTACTCCTAGGTACATAGAACTATATATTCCTCCAAGTAACTCAGAGCACATGTAACTCAGACCCATTTCTAACACACAAAGTTTTCTCTAAAAACAAAAGTAAGCAAATAAAAATGTCAGGCTGCATAGGCTCTCTGCACAACAAGAATAAAGTGAAATTGGGTCAGCTTGTAGTAAGAGTAGTGTGTAGGGGACAGCACCTCCTGTGTTCTAGTACCAGTCCAGTTCTGGTCCTAGTCTAGTCTGGACTGCTTGTGTGACTCTGGGCATGTCTGGATCACTTAGAGCTGGAGTGGGCAATAATTTTTGATGCGGAGGGAACTCCAAGATACTGGAAAGTGTTCAAGGGCCATACTTTTCTATGGAGGGGTTTGTATGGAGGTTGGGTGCAGAAGGGAGCTTGGGTAGGGGATTGGGGTACAGGAGAGAGTATGGGGTCTGAGAGGGAGTTTGGGTGACGTAGGGGGTTGTGACCTGGGGCATGAGATTGGGGTGCAGGATCTGGGAGGGAATTGTGACCTGGGGCGGGAGGTGTATGCAGAGGCTGTGGTTGGTGACCTAAAGGGAAGGAGAGGGTGCTGTCCAGGGCAGGAAGTTGGCAAGTGGGAGGGGCTGGGTGCCAGAGGCAGGCTCTGGCTGGGAGTCACTTACCTTAGGCGGCTCCCAGCCAGCAGTCCAACAAGGTCCCCGAGGCAGGCTCTTTCCTGCTGCAGCCCTGCCTGCTCAAGGAGGTAAACAGCTGAGATTAGATACAATCAATGACTCAGAGGAGATGCTGACATATACATAAGGAGCCAGATCACCCGCTGGTGTACCATGAGCCTAACAATTGTATCATAATGCATCCACAGAATAGGTCTGAATTAAGGTTGCACAAGCAGCTTTATTTCTGGCCTTTTCTATCTTTTGAATGCATTATTTTGCAACCTTAGTGCACTTTTTGTGTAATATAATTTGATGCTGGAGAAGGCATTTGATTTAAGGAATAAGTGATCATCTGGAAGCAAACCACAAGGTTGTTCCAGGCACAGGAAGCACTATAAAAGAAGGTATGAATATGAGAGTGAGGAAAGAAAACAGATAATGCTGATGGTGGCATTATTAATGACATGAAAAGAAAGAAAGTCACAGTATTGCGATCATCTGTTATTTGACAGAATCTGTATGATAGTTGAAATGTCACTCAGGAATAATGGCAAATGGTACCTCTGGTATCCTGGAAAAACTGTTCTTTGTCCAGGGAACGCGTTTGATATTCTGCTTTTTTGCAGAAGATCAAGCGCTCTCTTTCGGAAGCCCCTGTATTCCTCATTTCACGAGGAATAAGGGTGCTTCCAAAAGAGGGTTTTTTTCTGACATTTGGCCCAATCTAGATGGGCCAAAAGTTGGAAAAGTCTCTTCCAACAAAAGAATTGGAAAAGGCTATGAAAAATGCAGAGCACATTTTGCATAGCTTTTTCTGAAAAAAAGCAGCAGTGTAGACCTAGCCTTAGTGAACTTTAATGGGATTTGTTGCTCTATCCAGGAGTATGTTGGTGGGATAAGTCAAAAAGATTTGCACTGTGCAATGGCCTTGTTTTAATTAAAGTCTATAGTTTACAATTAATGTAACACTTTTAAAAGTAGGCCAAGTAATAGTTTCCTGTAAAAATTTTAAATTATAACACAGGACATTAAATCCAAATGGCAAATTATACAGTAGAGACACAAAAAATAGAGATAAGGTTTAAATAGCAGTATGTATTACGTGAAAGCCCCATATGCCTGCTTCAGCAGTTTCTTTGGGTTGCTTTTAGCCACACTATTGTCTGAATACTAATTTTAAGTAATTTTCCTGACCAAACAAAATCTGTTTGTATGTGATTTATCTGCTGCCAAATGTATTTTTATCCAATGGACTCAATTTCTTATAGACAGAAAATCTCTGTTTTTTCCAGATGCCCTTTTTAGCTATTTATATATGTCTTCATTTTGACTTGGAATTGCCTTCATATAATGTTTCTAAAATATAACATTTATTTTAATCATGCAACAGACCACGTATGCAACTACTTTACTATTAATGGGCGCTCTCCATACCCTTTGAAACTAGTTTGCTATACATACTGCTAATAAGAATTAATGGGGAATGAAACAATTTTTGATATTATTGGTCCATGCTGCATTACATTGATATTCTTAGATTCAGTAGTTTAAGGAAGACATTTTATGCATTTTAACAGAAAAACAGCTTGTTTTGCAGTATTACACAGAACACAAAGTTCAGACTATTTGGCATCCACTAAGTGCATATTAGAGCTAAGCATAGGGCCATATCTCCAACGGGTGAAAACAGTTCCATTGAACTCAATGAAGATTGTATCATTTGAGGATGTAGTGCAGCAATGGACAACCTAGCCTAGTAAGTGGGCTTCATGAGTGACCCACCTTCATCTCAGTGGGCTGAAAGATAGCTGTAACAAAGATAGTCTCCTGGGATAGGGTGGTTTTGCTAACTGTGCTTGCATACCTAAAATTTGCTGGCTGCCATCCATTGAACTGTAGCAATGCTTTGATGCAGAGGGAGCTCAGGGCCCTCATAGTCAATGTTGTGTACAGTTACCATGCCCCTCGCTTCATGTGCCCTTGCTTTATGTGTGTGTCACTTTAGTAATACCAGTCAGAAAAAACCTGATATGGATGGAACCTGCAGAATCTGTCAACCCTGCATGTAGGCCACACATAGAACCCCGATGGACCACAGGTTGCCCACCACTGATGTGGTCTATAATCTTACGGTGTGCAACAGCTCCATTCAACTCATGATGTAGGTGCCCATATAATTACAGTAATTATCTCAGTATGACACTGAGAAAGCGAAGAATAACAAGTAGTAACCAGCATATGAAACATGGTAGGCATAACAGGCAAGAGAGAAAGACAAATATATCTTACTTATCATTTCAGTCAATATGACATTGACAGGACATCATAAAAAAGTCAAAACTTTGAGGTTCAATCTGAGAAATCCTTATTGCACAGTGAGAACAGAGACTCATTAACATGAGAAGGAATAAAATTATTACTCGGTTCATATAGTAAGAATATACAAAGGCATCAGAACTGCATAATATTATGATTGGAGTACAGGGCTACCAACGCTAGTCACAATTATTGAGCTTATTTGAACTAATGGATGATAGTCTTGAAAAAGCCAAACTACTCTTTGAAAATGGCAGCTGACAAGAAGGCATAAAGTGGGTTTATTGCACTCTTCCATATGAAAAGGGAGACTTTCTAGGCAATTACAGGATGTAGGCTCTTAAAATAAACCATTTCTTCTTGGCTGTTTTACCTATCCAACTGTATAATTAATTAAAACCTGTGGGATTGATTAGCACCAAAACTTTTCCAGAATCATGTGTTCTAACATAGACTGCAAAGGAGAAGACCGTTCTTGATTAGTATTGACCAGATTTACTTGAAGTGTTATTTATTTTCCCAATTTGAAAACAAATATTTATTTCTTGGCAATACTATCATCAAAAAACAAAAATCCTGGCTGAATGAAAGTAGGTTGTTAATCAGGATGCAGGATAAGGATACAGGTTTTTCAGATTTCCACTGGAGAATGTTAAAAGGCAACTTCCATGCTTCTTTATTGCTTCCTTAGAAAAGCCTTCCAAGCGTTCCATATCCGTTTCCATATTCAGTCCAACAGCAGCAGACCACCACAATCCTGAAATTTTATGGAATGCCTTAGGTGCATGATGTGTGTGTTCAAATTCCTTTGTCCTTAGATTTGGTTGTTTTAAACTGCCCAGAGCTTTTGATACCTGGAGAATAACTATGATTGAGGAATTCTTCTTTTCTCAGAGGAAATCTTCTAAGGGAGGCATTGACACACTTTTAAACATTCAGATTAGCTTTTATTTCACGCAGATCTGAAATATAGACTAGTGAAATGGTGCTTATTTTCTGCTTAGTTATAAGAGTTAAAACACTTTCTGATTGCTATTTTTTTATCTGAGCCACTGCTCTGGTTGTCACAGGGCTTATGCTGTAAAAGTTGGTGGCCCATGCAGTTGTGAATTAAAAGGGACAATTTCAATGGTCCTTACATTTAAAAAGTGTGAGAATTCCCATTTTGAAAGATTCTGTTAAAATGCAGAGTTCAATTCTGTTGTATATTGGGTTGTAGATATAGATCTTGTTGTTATAGTAACTGAGTAGGTCACTGGGGGTCAGCCCAGCTGGTCTGGGCTTGTTCTAGTTAGTTCTGTGCTATGCAATAAAAATGGACACTTGAAACTACTCAAGCTCTCTGCCTTTCCACTGATTTCTTCCTATACTGTAAAACTCCCCACGACATAACAAATTCTAGGAGAAGGTTTTGAAGCCTCATTATTTTTATTGGATCCATTCTTCGTTCTCCAACAGGCACAATATTTGTTTGTAAGTTTCCTTGGCACACTACCTCTGTTTTTTGCAACCACCTATAGTCTATAGTCTTTCATGCAGACTGTGAGCTCTCTGAGGCATGGATTGTCTCTTTGGACATGTCTACACTGGAAAATTATTTCACAATATCTAAATTCAACTTAATAACTCCCGATTTTACAAAATCAAAATATCATGTCCCCACTATGGAGAAGCCTCAAAATTAGTCTGAGGCAGACTTCATTAATGTGGATGCACTATCTTGATGTAGAGTCCCCGGAAGCACTGGGAGCAATTAATTCAAATTACTCTGGGGAGTAATTATTTTGAAATAGCAGCACTGGAGCATCCACACTAATGCTATTTTGAAATTAGCATTATTCCTTGAGGAAAGCAGGCGTACAGATTTTGAAATAACACTGTAGTGTAGACCAGGGCTGTGTTACATGTTGTACCATTAGCACAGTGCAAGCCAATGTCTCTAGGTGCTACTGTACTACAGATAATATTATACTTATTTTCAACAGTGAACCTTGCATGTGCAGTTCAGGCAATACATCTGAGGACTCTATGTAATTTTTAGTGACAATATGCATCAGTCAACCTTGTTGGGTGATTGGAGTATATACTTTCTCAGTAGCAGTCAGCTGGCTAATTTGAAATTGTTTTATTTAGATTTCATATCATCTGGTTGGTGAAGCTGCCAAAAAAGTATTTGTCTCAGGCCATTATCTAAAGTCTCTGAACTCAGATGTCAGGGTTCCCGAATTTTTCAAGCCATTTCTCTCTTGCTTAATTTTAAAGATCAATAGAACTTTATAAACAGGTTTATTTTGCAAAGCAATGTCAAGATAAAAATTGAGAGGAAGACTAGAATTGTGCAGCACAAGTAATATACATGTGTATCAGCTTCCATGTGCTTATACTTTGGGGCTTGCATATATGGAGGGTAAGCATCTGTGAAATGGTGCTTTTGAAAATTTAGTCCTTAGTGTTCTTCTAAAATAATTGCTTTTTCTTCAGAGTCTGTGTTGGGTCTCTCATTGCTCACAAGCCTTCAACTAATCTCTCTACCTGGCTACATCTGACTTTCTTTTCTCTACCATAATCTGTCCATCTCTCTGACTGCCCCAGCTGCAAGTCTCACCATCAGCTAAAACTGAACATGACGAAAACCAAACTTTCTATCTTTTCTCTGACACCAAGCCACTTTTAGCCAAACATGTTTGAATTAAAAACAAAGACTAGATATAAAAAAGAGAGGTGACTACAGGAGAGAGGACTTTTTAACTAGGTTAGTTGATTTTCTAGATTTTATATCTTTATCTGCCCTAAGAGATAATGTGGTAGATTCTCTGTAGAATTCAAAAACCTTTCTTTATGTGCAGGTTGATAGGTGTGTCATGCGTGTGCCCTAGCAGAATAAGTGCCAGTAGAGTTTAAATATTCGGCCACATCCTGTAGTCTTGATTTCAGTTCAGGCAACCCTCCCATATTCTCTATGGCTACGTCTACACTGGCCCCTTTTCCGGAAGGGGCATGTAAATTTCACTAGTCGTCGTAGGGAAATCCGCGGGGGATTTAAATATCCCCCGCGGCATTTAAATAAAAATGTCCGCCGCTTTTTTCCGGCTTTTAAAAAAGCCGGAAAAGAGCGTCTAGACTGGCCCCGATCCTCCGGAAAAAGCGCCCTTTTCCGGAGGGTCTTATTCCTACTTTGAAGTGTAGGCTTTTTTAAAAGCCGGAAAAAAGCGGCGAGGCGCTTTTTCCGGAGGATCGGGGCCAGTCTAGACGCTCTTTTCCGGCTTTTTTAAAAGCCGGAAAAAAGCGGCGGACATTTTTATTTAAATGCCGCGGGGGATATTTAAATCCCCCGCGGATTTCCCTACGACGACTAGTGAAATTTACATGCCCCTTCCGGAAAAGGGGCCAGTGTAGACGTAGCCCATGGGTGTATCTACACTACATCCGTAGGTGGAAATATTATACACAATTTGAGCTACACAAATTGATTAAATTTCAAAATAGCATATTTCAAAATTTGGCATGATCTACACTGTGTCAAATTTCAAAATAAAGCGCTATTCCAACAAGCTTCTTAAATCTTATGGAACGAAGGTTACAAGGACACTGGAATAGCATGCCCATGTAGCCCATTCCATGGAAATGTATTTAAAGGTGCAGAATAGCTATTTCGGGATACTTCCAGTATCCCAAAATAGCGCCACTATCTAGACGTAGCCTACGAGGCCTGCACAAAAGACCAGTTGTGTGGTGGTCAGGGAGAGTTTGTTTTGTTTATTTTAAAAACGCATCATTCTGATGAGTTGAGTCCATCAAGTTGCTCAATATCTATCTGTGTACCTGCATGAGAGTTTATCCTTCCCTTTCTCCTACTATTTATTGTACTCATATGTTGTGTCTTGTTTCATACCAGATCATATCCTTGTTGGGGTAGGAAATGTGTCTTTCCATATGGTTGTATGGCATTTAGCACAATCAGATCCCTAATTCTGATTGAACATGAAGCACTGCCACACTGCAAATAAAAATAATAATTACTGGGAGTTGTTCCTGACCAAAGGATGCAAGATTCCTTCTTCTTGTGTTTCAAAATATTCCTTGCAGATGGATTGAATGTGTCTTGCATAGGAATCTTGTCAATTTATCTAAATCCAATGCCAGTCAATTGAATAGACTGGATTGTACACTATACTGATTGTATAGGGTACATTAAAATGTTGGGTTTGTGAGAAATAAATTCATTCTCTTTTTTAAGCTGGTCGACAGGTGAATGGAGTGTATGCAGCAAGTCTTGTGGTGGAGGGCAACAAAGTCGCCAAATTCAGTGTGTCCAGAAAAAGACTTTTCAAAAGGAAGATGTGGTAGCACATTCTCTTTGTCCAGTCAGCACGCCAGCCCAAGTACAGATATGTAATCCTCAACACTGCCCACCTGAATGGAATCCTGGACCATGGTCTCAGGTAATTTAGAGAAAAAGAATGGTTTCTTTTGCCAATGTAATAGAAACACAGTTACAAGATTCTCTTGTTTTCTGAAGGACAAGACTCTATGGTTCCCTGAAAGTCATGCTTCCCCCCCACCCGTTTCTTATATGAGTTCATACAGTAATATTAACATTTTTCTGCAGAGGTACTGCTAATGGAAAAAAAGAATGGGTTTAGAATGGCACATTAGTACATACACACATTTATGAAATGCAGGAAGATGAAGTTATGTTCTCCTCCACATTACGTATGTTGTAGTCACATATTTACAACATGTTAGTATAACTCATTCCAAGTAAATAAGGGTATGTCTACACTACCCCTCTAGTTCGAACTAGGGTGGTTAATGTAGGCAACCAAAGTTGCAAATGAAGCCCAGGATTTGAATTTCCCGGGCTTCATTTGCACCTTGCCGGGCGCCGCCATTTTTAAAGCCCCGCTAGTTCGGACTCCGTGCCCGCGGCTACACGCGGCACGGAGTAGGTAGTTCGGATTAGGCTTCCTATTCCGAACTACCGTTACTCCTCGTGGAACGGTGGAATGGTGGCGCCCGGCAAGATGCAAATAAAGCCAAGGAAATTCAAATCCCGGGCTTCGTTTGCAACTTCGGTTGCCTACATTAACCACCCTAGTTCGAACTAGGGTGGTTGTGTAGACATACCCTGATTTAGTTGTGTAGTAAAGTGGCATAAGTAGTAGCAATGGTCTCTGGGCAGATTTCTGGGTGTACATACTCTTTTTCAGAAATGTGTGAAAACCCTGAACACTCTACATGCTGTCCCAACTGTTTTAGAAGATAGGACAAATATACTGGAAACCTGTAATTTATCTTAATTTTTAAAATAATAATGCTTCCCCCCCCGTTGAAAAATCTAAAGACACTTATGTTTTAAACTTTATTTAGCTTTGGTTCAGAGACACAAGGAAAATACTGTAACCAGAAAAGTATCAAACATTGAAAGACAGGTTAAAAGGTTTTGTATTTGTAGAACTATTTTGCACATGGTTTTTTTCTGCTTCTGTTTCTTAAGGGTACTTTTACACTGTTTGCTTATTTTGAAATAAGCTATTCCAGAAGAAATACTCTGAAATAGCTTATTTTGAAATATCACATCAACACTTCAGGGAACCCTAAAAATTAGTCCAAGAGAGGCTTCCCTAATATGGACATGCTACCTTGATTTAGAGCCCCAGGAGGCACTGGGGAGTAATTTCTCTGAATGACCCTGGAGAGGAGCTATTTCAAAATAGCAGCAATGGAGTGTCTACACTACTGCTATTCTGAAATAGCTATTTCGGAATATGCATTATTCTCGTGGAATGATGTTTACAGAAGTTGAAATAAGATGTCCATTATTTCAAATTTATTTCAAAATTACAGAATTGCTGTGTCGACACTCGCACTGTTATTTCGGAATAACACCTGTTATTCCAAAATAACACTGTTGTGTAGATGCACCTCCCAGAAATAAAAGTGTCAGTTCAAGTTTCCCACTAACATTACCTGCTGGGGATCTTCTAGGATATATCCTTGATATCTTAATGAAGATGCAAGGTCTCCTGTCTTTAATGAAGATTTCATTATTCCACGGTGTTCATTAATTAATGAAGTTAAACAAGTATCACAAACATTTAAAAAAAGGAAATATTTTTAACAGGGGGACTAAAGATACTTTTCCCCTTTCAATTATTCATCTTTTTACTCTTTGACTTTGTGGTTGTCTTTTCACTAGTCATTCAGTCATCAAAGTTTTCTAGGACCTGAATTTCTAATGTTAAAAACACATTAAAAAAAGCTTTTCTTTAGGGTGAAGGGAGGGGGGGCAGGGCTTGAGAACCTTTCAGATTTTCTATTACATCATACAGAAGCTGAAAGAAAACCCATTCCTCCCCTTTGCTATACATCTGTGAATTTGCTGGGATTTGCGAAGGGACTTAAGAAATTTAGGCATTCAGCTCCAATTGAAATATAATGGCAGTGGGGCATATAACTTCTTAAGGTCTCTCTGAAAACCTCAGCCTCTGTCTGTCAGGTTGCTTTTGATTGTTCTAATACTGTAGGCCACTGAGTAGCTCTTTGTACGTCTTACATAACGTGATAGGATAATGAGAAGTTCCATTCTCTTCAAAAGGCACCATGCCCTATGTGACGGTGACCACTAAATCCTGTCCTGTTTAACACTCACAAACAGTACTAGCATTAAAAAACTATGACAGGATTGATATCAGTTTTGTAGCTCATTAAATGATGACAGATCTTAAAGATTAGATAGATAGATAGATAGATAGATAGATAGATAGATAGATAGATAGATAGATAGATAGATAGATAGATAGATAGATAGATAGATAGATAGAATCCCTCACAATGTCAAAACTTTTTTCACAGAAAGATGGGGAAAATGCAGACCAGTTTATGGGAAGAACAGAAATCCCCCGTTTTTCAGTGAGCACAGGTTTCTCTTGCCCAGCCCATGCAGCATTGAGTTTGGATAGAATGTTTTAAAAATATCTACAGTCTAATACGTACTTTAGTAGCCACAGGACACTGGCTTTTACATGCAAAGCATTAACCCGATGAACTCTGGTAAAAAAGCAACAGACTGAAAGTAAGGACAGGATGATAGGAAATCTGTAGAATTATCCCTGGCCTTATAAAATCTGCAATTTTCACTTTAGAATATATTCAGTTGGTGCATTTTGTTCTAGCCATAAAATACATATTTTAGATTTTAAATCATCATAGTAACAAACAAAATAACATCTATAATGCTTTCTAACCACAGCCACAATGCCCCAAATTCTAGTCATGGCTTTGCCAAATAATTGCTTTGTGGCTTTGACCAAGGCAAGTTATATACCATTCACTGTCCCAAGTTTTCTTTTGAACTGAGATCCATTCTCTGAAATAAGATGCACAGGCTATCAGTGAATTGAGTTGATTATGTCTCTGGTTTGCAAGCTCCACCTGTTCTAGCCCTGGCCTTAGCATAAATTGGAGCAACCTTGGGGCTTCTGTAATTTATAGAAGATGGGTATGGCTCTAAAGTCAAGCACTAATTGGGAATTGCTATAGTATAGCTGCCATCTGCTTCCTCCCATCCTCTATGCCAGTGTAGGTTTGGGTAGCAACCAACTAGGGTAGTTTTACACTAGCTGAGAGCTCCTTGCACTGGGGGAAATCGCAGATGGGCAGTTAAGGCCAGATATCAACCTCTTTATATTGCTAAGGCCTGAGAGAATCTCTCTCTGCTTCAGTTCTCCATATGTAGAACAGAGAATGCTTATCTTCCTTACTGGAGGGCTATGAGGGTTAGTTAAGGCTACACAATAAAATGTTAAACTCCAGGTTTGAAAAATGAAAAGTGCCACAAAAGTATGTTTATTATATTTCATAGTTCCATAACAGAATTATAGGTTTGAGTTAACGGCAGTGGCTACAGATAAGATTCATTATGGCTTCTGTGTTCTGCTGTAAATACAAAAATATCAATTTGATGTGCCCCAAACTCAAATGAGTATTTCTTTCTGCCAAAGTGTTCCAAGACTTGTGGGAGAGGCATTAAGAAACGGGATGTCCACTGCAAAGGCACCAGCCTTTCCAAGCTAAAAGTCTTACCAGAAAGTATGTGCAGCAGAGAGCCCAAGCCAGAATCTCAGCAGCCCTGTGTACTCGGACGATGCCCCAGAAATGATCGGCTCCTGTGGGTGGTTTCTTCTTGGACTGAGGTACAGTACTACAGTCTGCATAAGTGTCTTGTTCTCTGCAGAGCTCATGTAATAGTACAGACATACCAGCATGCACAGAGCATATGAAAGGGGAAAAAATGCTAAAGGGTTATGCTAAAAACACCTGATTTTCAGAATGTGTTGAGCACCTTTTCATCTTTTCAGATGTTTCAAGTTGGGCATTGATAGATTGAGGCACTCAATGTCAATTTTGAAAATTTAGGTTTTTGTCTCAATATATTTGACTGTATCCTACTTTCATTTTTTATGTCAGATGCCCCTTGGCTTCACAGTTGTTTCCAAGATGGCAAAATTCATACTACAGGTTGGACCTCCCTGGTCCAGCACCCTCAGAACCTGAGCTGTCCCAGACCAGGGAGTTTGCCAGAAGTGGGGAAGTCAGTGATCCCCTGCTGGCTGCCCTGCTCCTGGGCGCCTCTCCCTGTGACTCCCTGCCCTGCTACTGGCACTGCTAAAGCTGGCCTGGCACGGCTCCCCACCTCGCTGCCCTGCCTGCTGCCCCAGTGTCTCCCAGGGTTCTGGCTGGAGACTGCTTGTCTGCTACTAGTCCTGCTGCCGCAGGGTGTTCTCCAGGGTTCCTGGCTGGGGCCACCCAGCTGCTGCTGGCCCTTTTGCCAGTGGGGTTCCCCAGCTGGCGCTGCCCAGCCATCCCACTCTGTTGTTGCTGGGGATTTCAGCCCCCTGTCTCCATGCTACAGATTGAACCCCACAAATCCAGGTTCCCCAGCAGAGGCTGCCCAGTCATCTCAGCCCTGCTGCCACCAGGAGTTTCTCAGGGCCCAGCTTCAGCTTGGAGTTCCTTGGCTGGTGCCAGGACTCCCCAGCCACATGGCTCCGCTAACGCTTGGGATTCTCCCACCAGATGGGAGCTCTTGGGTTGCTACCTGGCCTCCTTGATGTTGGGGGTGTTCCAGGCCAGGGTGGGATCTCCCCAGATGCTGCCTGACCCAGCCAGGGATTCCCAGCCCCTGCATTGCTTTGGGGCTCTTTGGTCCAGCAGCATCCCTGACCCCGCCAGACCACGGAGGTTGCTGGACCAGAAAGTCCTGGATTTATGGGGTCCAATCTGCAGCATGGAAACACACACGCTCCCCTGATCTTTATATTTTTACTTTTCATGAAACATTCATATTTCCACAAAAATTTGTCCTGTCTTTAGTGGAACTGATGTTAATTTGCAGCAATGTATAAATATATATTAAATATATATATATATATATTTTAGTGGTCAGCATCCTGTGGTCCAGGAATTAAAAAGCGGGAAATGAAGTGCAGTGAAAAAAGCATCCACGGAAAATGGATCCCCTTCCCTCAGCGTAGATGTCGGAACATAAAGAAACCAAACTTAGAACTAGAAGAAGCATGTAACAAAGGCCCTTGTCCATTGCAGAGGTTATACCGCATGGTGTCTGAATGGGACTCATCACCCTGGCAACAGGTATGAGAGAAAAAGTCACCAGGAGGATTTGGAGTAGGTTACTCCTTTCTCTTCCACCTCAGTACTCTCAGTGCCACTTCCTTTTTTGGAATTTATGGAGTCAGTAAGGAGTGTACAGACTCTTCTGTGTGCTACTGTTCCTCACTGCGGAATAGCGGACCTCAGCTATGTCTACACTGCAGGCTTTCTGCGCAAGAACTTTTTGCACAAGAGTTCATGTGCAAAAAGTTATTGCACAAGAGCGTGTTCACATTGCCATGTGTTTTGTGCAAGAGCTTCTGTGGCACTGTGGATGCTCTCTTGCGCAAGAAAGCTCTGTTGGCCATTTTAGCCATAGAGGTTTCTTGAGCAAGAAACCCCTGTTGCCCGACCACACATGTCTTTTTGCGCAAGAGCTCTTGCGCAAAAAGGCTTATTCCTTTTTCTTGCACAAGAATGGGCTTGTAATGTGGATGCTCAGCAAGTTTTTGCTCAAAAACTCTGCAGTGTAGACATAGCCCTTACATTTACCACTTGGGTGACTGTACCCTTAATGACCAGACCAATAACCTTCCCCTTTCAGTCTTTTGTGAACAAAACCACACATTATAGTCAGCCAATGCCCGAGTTGGAAATATCAGGCCAAATTCTGTTCTCCATTACGTCCATTCAGCCCTATTGGCCTAACATATGGTACTAGGTATGACAGAATCAGTGGATGGGAATAGCTGATATGTAGGGCAGCCAGTTCAAAAGTTCACAGGAGAATGATGAAGCCAGATTGAAGGCAGAATGGGTGTTTGGTGAAACATTGTGTGAATAATGAGTAATGCCTAGGGAAACTGCACAAGCAGACTATGCTGAGTTGTGCTGCAATTCCAAAAAAAAGGCTAGAACATAACATAATCAGCCATAATGGGACTGTTGTATTTTAGTGCTGATCATCCACAGGTGTCTGCTGCATATAGTCATAAGATCTGTTCTGCTGGGTCAAGACTAATGGTCCATATAGCCCAGTATTCTGTCTTTCAACAGTGGCCTATGTCAGATGCTTCAGAGGGAATTAGAAGAACAGTGCAATTCTCAAGTAATCCATTCTGTTGTCCAATCTTAGCTTCTAGCAATATTCCATAGAAAATGTTCTGGCATGATGTACCTAGTTCCATAGTCCTGCATTTTGGAGTAATTAGTTCTTTGGCCTAAAACTGAAGACTGTCACCTACTACTTGTGATACCCCTCGTCACTAGCCCTTGTCATAACAGAGGATACTGATGTAGATGGACTTTGGTATGATCCAATGTGGCCATTCTGGTGTTCTTAATAGGGCTGCCACTGCACTACATTTTGTGCCATTTCCAAACTCTATATGACCATTTTTCTTGAAATTGCACAGTGGATGAACATTACATATCTATATGCACAATGTATTAGAGCATCTGCACAAATTGTATGGAATTCCTTAAATACTGTGATTGATTACTGGATCAAGTCTGTATTTGATCTACATTCTTGAAATGAAGCTTCTGTATTTCTGGAACTTACCTATTTTATTAATCATTTATCTATGAGAGACATATTCATTTAATATCAATAACGATGTGTACCTGGTAACTGTAATCTGTAATACCAATCACATTTTAAGGGCATACTTTTCATGAAGCACATGCAAGTAAAAGACTCGCTCACTTTATAATACTTCAGAGATCATCTTAAAAAAACGTATTTTTTTCCTTGACATTTGTAGCTTCTCTGGGAATTTTACCTGTGGTGGGACAGCATGAGTAGGCCCAGAGAATCAAGTCTCTAAACAGATCAACACACAAATGGAGTGAGATTTCCTAAAAGTCTCATCTTCCCATTAGTTACCTAAATAGGTAACTAGATTTTCAGAGGGGATTTTCAGAGGTGTTCAGTTCAAGTTGGATACTTGCCTCTTTTGAAAATCTGGCACTTGCTTCAGTGGCTCAATGGGAGCTGCGCTCACTTGAAAATCTGGTTTTGATTGCTGGTGCTGAGCAAGGGGACGTCTGGCTTTTGAGCTCTTTTGAAAATTTGGTCTTTATGTCTCTTTTCAATTTGCAGGTCTCATGCAAAGCCCTTGATAGTCTTTCCATTGATTTTGGGGGGACCATGGAAAACCGTCTGTGTTATAGACTATGACTTCTATCTTTCATTTTCTGTAGTGTACAGTAACGTGTGGTGGGGGGGTGCAAATCCGTAGCGTGCAGTGCCTCCGGCAAGGACAGCCAGCAACTGGGTGCCTACCACATCAGAAACCAGTGATGTCAAGAGCTTGCAACACTAACTTTTGCCCGGCTCCAGAGAGAAAAGGTAAAACCCCAAACTAAGCTGTGAATTACATTCAGTGATAGGTTGGATTGCTCAGAATTTTATACGCTGGCAAATTTGTCAGGGACACTGTCAAAATAGTTGGTTTGGTTTCTTGTTTCTTGTTTTTTTGTTTCTTTCATCTTTCTGCGTAAATCCCACATTTTTCAATTTTACCATTGTGCTTTGCAAAATATAAAATTCAGAAGTGCATCATGTTCCTTTTCATATGGGCTGTGTCTACACTGGGCCACTTATTCCGGAAAATCAGCCGCTTTTCTGGAATAAGCTGCGAGCTGTCTACACTGGCCCTTGAATTTCCGGAAAAGCAACGATGCTCTACTGTACAAAATCAGCCGCTCGGGCATAAGTCCTTATTCTGGAGCACTGTTCTGGAAAAGGGCCAGTGTAGACAGCCCAGTAGTCTTTTCCGGAAAAGCGCGTCTACATTGGCCACAGACGCTTTTCCAGAAAAAGGGCTTTTCCAGAAAAGCAGCCTGCCAATGTAGATGCTCCTTTTCCTGAAAAACTGAAAACGGAATAGTATTCCGTTTTAAGCTGTTCCGGAAATTCATGCCAGTGTAGACACAGCCATGGAGTGCTGTTAAAGCAGTCAAAAGGGGCTAACTGGTAGGTCTGAAAAGTTCAAGGTGGGGGGAAATTTTTGTTTTGTTTTGTTTTGTTTTGCAATTCAGATTTGAGTTGTTTCTGTCACCAGTTAAGATCGGGCTGCAGTGTGCATAACCTTCACCTCCGCCCTGTTACAATCCATTTTATTGATGAAACATCCCATACTGACATTGGCATAAAGTTAAAATAATGACTTTTCAATAGAGAAGCAGCAAATTGTTCTTGCTGCTACTGCGTAGAAGACATTCATAGCTTCAATTCACTCTCATTTGCCTCTCTTTGCTAATCTTGATGAACAGTGACAAAAGTAACTCTTATATGTACATCCCTATTGTCTTTCCTGCAGCTGTCACTTATGGCTTAGTTATGCCTGATAGACCTAATTTTCATCGAACAGGCAGTGTGGAGACACACCTCTCCAGAGAGAATGTTCTATCCCAGGGAGAATGCCATCTGGAGCTCTCAGGATTCACATGCTGCTTTCTGTTGGGCACAGATAGCTCTCCTCTACACTGTCAACTAGCTCTGCTGGTTGGCACATAGTGTGTCTGGTGGGGAGGGTGAACATGGATTTGTGCTCTTGTTCTTCAGGGGTGGGGAGCCTCAGGCCCGGGGGCTGGATGCAGCCTCTGGATTGCCTGGGTCTGGACCCCAAGGCTTAGCGTTGGGGAGCCCGTGCTGGTATTCCAGCCCCCTGCCACCCACCCACAGGGCTGGAGCACAGAAAACCTACTAGCCTGGGCCACCATAGGCCCTGGTGTGTAAGGGGAATGTGAGGAGTGTCTTTCTCCTTCTCAGTCAGGGACTTCTCACTTTGCTTCTCATTTGTGTCCAGCCCCCAACTGATTGTTCTGTGGGTCCATGTTATCTTTGGGGTGTTTTGGAATTCTAATGGAATGGGGTGCAAGTAGTCTTTGTGCTCTTTTGGGTGCAGGGGTTGGAATTCTGTCTGGCCCATACATGTGGAATGTAAAGAAGCTGAGGTTCCTCTCTTCTCCCTTCAACCAGCTCCCTCTACCCTCCCAAAAAAACAACCCAACAACTGTGCATCACTGTAAGGACCAGACAGAATGTTAAGACTTTAATTGAATAAAATCCTCACTGCAGTAAGGATTTGGCCCATATCATGCTCTTCATCCCAGCAGACCAAAGTACTTTACACACATTAATTCTCAAAAGACCCCAGTGAGGGATTTTAGCATGATTATACCCATTTTATATATAGGCGCTGAAAATAAAGGTGGCGCCCTGGTTAAATACAACAAAAGCCACAGCCAGGTCATAGTTGACTTTCTTCCAATCCTAGAGCAGCATCCTTACTCCCTGTCTCATATTCTAACCATCAGACAGTATTCCCTCACATCTATATTAATTTCTGAATATTTACTATGCAAGGAAAACCTGTAATAAATATTGATTTGTCAACCATCAGGCCTTTCGGAAACATAATATTGCATGAGCCTGAGAGGTAAGACAGGTGCAGAAAAATACCCAGGGTGCAGAAATAATACCAAGGGTGCTTTATTTGTGGGATGTGCAAAAGTCCATCCCTGGGATTCATCAGTCAGCTCCAACCAACCTGGATTGGAAGAATGGATGATTCAGGCCTGAAATTGACAAGTAAATAACTGAACAAGTTTAGAAATGGCTGAACAGTTTTAAAGACTCGGACGTTAATACCAAATCTTCCCGGAAGTTCTGCTGTGCTTCAGAACTTGTTTTGTGAATTTATGAAATCACTTCCCGTCATAAGATAGCAAAACCCTTCACCTCCAACATGATTCCTCTGTCCAGATTTCATATCTGAGATGATGGCTGTTACTCATTTTGGTCTTGGCCAGTTTCTCCCCCTCCCCACAGCTGTGGAAGCTCTTTTCCCTGTGTTGTAACTGGTTCTTCAGTCTCTGGAGGTCATTTACCTTGTCTCCGCTCTCTAACTCTCCCATGTGCTGCTTTAGATAGATATGGGGCCAGCTGTGCTGGAATCACATGGAAGCAAATAACTCTCAATTAATAGCTGCACAGCTCCAGCTCTGTGAGCCATTAGGGAGAGATCATGGAGAAGAAATAAACATTTCTAGGAGAGTTATCATGTACTCCTAGACAAGTTGGGTCTCCCCACAAGCAATTTTTTCTCATTTCCATCACTCTGCTAAACACAGCAACAGGTATTGTAATTTATAGCCTGTAAATCCGAACTACTTGGAGCACCTTAAAAGGAAACTGCACTTTTTAAAAAATGGACATTTATGAATATGAGGTACCAAACCAACAAAAGGAGGAGAAGAGGGGAGTCATTCAGAGGCCACTGAACTCAATGGAATTAGGTCCTAAAATTAATTCTTTTCAGATGCCTAAGTGACTTATGTGCTTCAGTCCCATGTTCAAGGCATAAGGGAGGCATAAGGGATCTGTCAAAAATACTTTCTTTCTCGATAAATCCCACTCTAGACTGCCGCTTTTTGCCGACAGAGTGCTGAGTCGGCAAAACGCGGTGGCCATTTTTATGCAAATTAGGCACGGGATATTTAAATCCCTGCCTCATTTGCAATGTCGACCTGCCTAATCTGCATCCCTCTGCTAACAGAGGGATGCAGTCTAGACATACCCACACATAGCTGGTTTAATTCTACTTTCACTAAAGTTAATGAGAATGTAATCACTGACGTGGGATCACAGCAAGGACAATGTTAAACGTTTTTGAAAAATCCCACTCTAAATTACTGTGCTATGTAATCTCATAAAGATCTTGCTTATTATCCTGGGGATTTGTTCAGATTTTAATGAATGCACTGTGAATATAAATGATAGAATTTAGATGTCTCCCAGTTTAAGGATGCAAACTGTAGTTCTCAAAAAGAGGTACCTTATAATAGATTTTGCTTTGTGGGTACAAGATTTAACCTTTCAGTGCACTTAAATTTAGATAATTGAAAATGAACTCTTCTCCCTGTACCTGGGAAGCATGGATACACAAGCAATTTTGTTCATACATACAGAGCTTGTGGTTGGAACATTTAGATTTATTTCTGTAGTATGTGAACACACATGCACTCACAGAGGCTGAACTATTTTCTCTGCAGATCAAATGAAGGGTAGAGTAATATTCATTAGCATAGGGCTCAGTAGCTTCATTAATGCCAATAGTAAAATGCTGAATGACTACAGTGGACCAAGGATTTCACCTTGGATAATTTTTGAAGAGTTGTGCGATAAAGTATTTTGTTGGTCTCCCATCATGCCACAGTCTATTACATCAAATGCAGAGCAACCCAATTAAAAAGACAGTGATATTGGGGGAGAAAGATTGTACAAGGCCTTCTTCTTTAGCTGAAATTATCCCTTGTGTTTACGTCATTTGCAAATGTGTAGAAATCAATAAGTTGAAGTACTGCCTTATTTACAAAATTGCTGAAATATACCCTAAACATATTGATTGGATTTGCCTCTTTCAGATGATCCCTCTTGTCTGGATTTCTTCCCGTGGTGTCATCTGGTCCCCCAGCATGGTGTCTGCAACCACAAATTTTATGGCAAACAGTGCTGTAAATCATGCACAAGGAAGAACTGATCACAATATTTTACTGCAACCCTACAATGACAGGATTCTCCCTTTTGGTTTACAATGAAATTCAGTTGACTTCAAGGCAGGATCTGATGCCACATAAACCACTGACGGAAGAGAAACGTACGATGGAGTAGCTTTCTAGGGGACTATCCGAGGTACAGTAATTGTTAGATTAAAAAGTGATCGAGGACTGGCTATTTTTTTTGTTTTGTTTTGTTTTGTTGACCTCCCTAAAGTTTGAGGTACTAGGGATCACTTGAACACTACCAAGCAAGGGGCAGTTCTTCCCATTGCTCTTTAAATATGTCATTTTGCACTGTCATATGTGATAAGAAAGAAAATAAGGTCAGCAACGCTCATCCGAATAATTTATCAGAATATGGGCAAAAGAGATGGTAAATTCTGTGTCAGCAGTATCTCAGTCTATCATCATTGGTCTTCAGTATTTGTTATATTGTCTGTTCAAAGTAAAGAGGAGGTTTGCTACAGTTCTCATGAGAGAGATGTCCATATGGCTGTTGCTTGGAGCATGCAGTGACACGCCTATCACAGATGTTATGACCACAATAAGTAAATAGTGCACTACAAAGATAAATGGTGCTTCTGCATTACACTTGCTGCTGGAAAAGCAAGTATGGCATCATGCTAATGTTTTTATTGTTTTGAAAATTTTCACTTTCTACTTAGTGTAGAAACTCAGAGGTGGTTAACTAGCAACTTGAAATGTATTCCTAGAAATATTCAGCCGGTAGAAATATGTGGAACTTTTAATATTGCCGTGTAATATAAATAAAATGGAATTTCACATTTTGACTAACTCAAGGAACTCAAAGATTTATTGTGCTCAATGGTTATATCATTTTCATTCTAAGCATGTTAGGTAAGTTATTTAAAAGTTTAAACTTAATTTTTTTTCAATAATAAAACTTCAAAATATGTTTCTCCAAAGTTAAATTGCTTGAATGCTACTATGGTGAAGAATAATTTATTTTTATGTAAACTTTCTCTGCAAATTTTGGTTCACAGGTAGCAAAAAAGAAATAGCAAGAATATGTTTATCTGTTAAGTCACACAGATGCCTCAGAATGGCTAAATATCGATAAATGAAATATCAAGTAGAAAAAATAGTAGTGCCATCAGAAAAATCAAATTCAATTATATTTTAGACTATCATAATCCTCAAAATATACTTTTTTAGATTAGTCTCCTTTAACATTTTAGAGCACTCTCAATGATATTTGTAGTCATTTCAATATCCAGAAGTCAGTAGATGTCATATATTAAATGCTATCTTTAAAATGTTTCTGCATTGGAAAAAGAAAACCAATCTGTTTGCCAAAACCATTGTAACTGAAATAGGATTGTGTCCTACTGTAATTTTCTGGGGAGTGGCTATAAGGGACCTATTTATCTAATTCCACCCAATCCCACAACTTCTTTTGATGAATGTAGCTCAATTTTACTGCTTTTTAAAGTATCATTTCAAACTAGGATTAGCCATCTCAGCACTAATGCCAGACAGTGGTCAGCTAAAATTAGCAGTTCCTTTTGCAACAATTTAAATGAAAAACATGTATTCTCTGATACTTTAAGAAATGTTGATTGGAAACATATCTCAATCAACTAGGCTCTGTCTTGATATTGGACTTTGTATAATTATAACTTTTTTCTTGGAAAACTGCAAGTTTTTTTTATTTTGTTTTTATAATTGTGTCCTTTTATTATTTGATGTAAAATAATTAATTTATTAATGCATAGCTTTTCCTTTATATTTCATCATTTACTTCCTTAAGTAAGTGACAACAGTTCAAAAGAGAAAATGACAGTGCCACGAAATATGGATTATGGTGTAAAAAACAAGAATATAAGTGTAATATTTAATTATTTTATAAGTTTTATAATAAAGTACTCTAACTGTTTCACTATATTTGGATTTGTAAAATTCTTGAATAAAATATGGAGGTTATAAATAGATGCCGAGTAATGTAAATGATGTATGTGTTTATCTGTGCTCATGCAAAAAAATGCCAAACTGCTCTGTATTAAGACAATACAGTATCCTAGTATGTACATAAATTTAATTATAGGAACAGTTTCATAAAGAGAGAAGGGGTTTCATATTACATTACAGACATATAAATAGAGTGTGTATATCTAAGTACCATACAAAAGTATCATGGACAAACAGCTGGATTTTTTTTATCCTTTACGTATATCCAGAACAAGAAAAAAACACCTAACAATCAGCAGCCAGTTACTATGAATTACATTGAGATTCTGAAATAGAATGAAAATTAGTTTCAGGTAGGACATCGTGGGAATTCAGTGCAGCAGGACTGATTCATAACTTTCATGAATTAGGCCAGATATAAGATTCCTCTTGAAATTGAAATATATGTTGGATATATGCTGTTCACCTTTCTGGGTCACCTTTTTTGAAGAGTCATCTGAAATGTACCATAGTTTACTCAACAGAGGGTGCACATTGTTTCTGCCAATTTGACTACATATGGTAAAAGATGCATCTTGTTTGAATTAATAGTGTGCAATAAATGGAGATTAGATTTCATACATAAAAGGGCCTTCTATAGCTTCGTGATTTTATTAGTACGATAGCAGAACAATCACAAAAAACCCTTTTATGTTCAGGAGATCATGTCTGGTTCATGAGTTCTCCTTGGACTATTTGCTTGAATAACAACTGTCAAGTGCTCACAGAGCACAGTTTGGTTACGTCTACACTGCAGCGCTATTTCGGGATACCAGCGGTATCACAAAATTGCTATTCCACATCTTTTGAGCACATCCGTTATTTCAAAATATATAATAGGCTCACTATTCCGATGTCCCTGTAAACCTCATTCCAAGTGGAGTAAGAGATGTTTCAGCATAGCAATTTATTTCAAAATAAGTGCTGTGTAGACAGTGCCAAATTACGAAATAAGCTATTTAGAAACCGACTCGAAATAAGCTATGCAATTTGCGTAGCTCAAATTGTATAGTTTATTTCGAGCTACAGATGCAGTGTAGATGCAACTTTTGGCACACTGATTTCAGTTACTAATACACTGCCATAAAAATTAGAACCTTGAATAATAATCTACTTGGGACAGACAATGGAATTAAAATAGACTGACAGGTGCAAATGAATCACAGTGCCGGAGACAAACATTTGGAAAAAAGGCAATATTGCATACATGTGTATAGTCAAACTGCTGGATAAACCCCAAATTAATATCTGTCTGGGATTGCTGAGCCCTGAAGATTAACAGAGTTTGCAATGTTTGGTTGTTTTCAATGAGCTAGTTACTCCAAGTCTCACTTAACAAAGCAGAATGGTGACTTTTGAAAAAGAAACACCTGCATTTCCCAGTCAGATTTCATCATACCGCTGAAACTGAACAGATAGGTTATGAATGGCTTGACTTGTTAAATGAAAATCAATTACCGTAGGTGTTTGGAAGTCTTGAAGTGTTGCTGGAAGCAAACTGGCATTTTGCTATATGTGGTTTTACAGCAACAGGATCCAAATTGCTAGTTCCCTTTTAAGTGACTCCTGTGCAAAAGCATTCACACAAAAAATTATTGGTTTTATTATTGATATTATATCTATTGTAGTGCCACACAATCAGTGACTGCACACACTGTGCACTGCATACACATTTAGTTTCGGCCACTGACCCAAAGAGCTTACAGTCAGTCACATGATGAGAAATAAGGAGTGGATGCAGTAATCAGACAAGAGGAACACAAATTAAGTGAGATCATTATGTTGTGTAATAGAGCATTGGTCATAGAACACCAGCTGCCCGGTCACTGTTGAGCATTTTGTAGGGCTTTGAAAGAGCACTGAGCATGAACCATAGAGCACTATATAGGTACATCTATACAGCAGGTCTAAACTCAAAATAAGCTATGCAACTTGAGCTAAGCTAATTGCATAGCTTAAATTGAAATAGCTTATTTCAAATTTGGGAACATCTACACAGCACTTATTTTGAAATAGAGCACTCTTCCTCCAACTTCCCTTATTCCTTGTACAATGAGGGTTAGAGGAGGTGCAGTAAGCAGTCCTCCAGTCATTTCAACATTATGTCAAAATAACTGCTTGTGTATAGACGTGGACTATGTTATTTTGGAATAATGTCCGTTATTCCAAAATAATGTAGCTGTGTAGACGTACCCCATCTCTCCCTTTAACTTTAGCAATTATGTCCAATAAGGTCTGAGTGGACAGTTGAGAAGAGAGGGAGCAAAATAGTGGAGTGAGCAAAAGAGCAAGTCAAAACAAGAAGGCTCTTGTCAGCAGCTTTTCCGGAAAAACTTGCCAGCTGTCTACACTGGCCGCTTGAATTTCCGGAAAAGCACTGACGATCTCATGTAAAATCATCAGTGCTTTTCCGGAAATACTATGCTGCTCCCGTTCGGGCAAAAGTCTTTTTCCGAAAGACTTTTGTGCAAAAGGGCCAGTGTAGACAGCATAGTACTGTTTTCCGCAAAAAAGCCCCGATCACGAAAATGGCGATCAGGGCTTTTTTGCGGAAAAGCACATCTAGATTGGCCATGGACACTTTTCCGCAAAAAGTGCTTTTGCAGAAAAGCATCCTGCCAATCTAGATGCGCTTTTCCGAAAATGCTTTTAACGGAAAAGTTTTCCGTTAAAAGCATTTTCGGAAAATCATGCCAGTGTAGACGTAGCCGAAGGGTGTAGGAGATGAATGCTAAAGTAGGTGGTGAGTCATAAACAAAGGTTATCATTCAGAGACTGCAGGGGACTACAAAGAGCTTATGGCATGACAGAATATTCAGTTCCATCAAAAGACATCTGAAAATAAGATGATACAATGTCTAGAAAGAATACCCCGAGTGCTTCACCAGCCAGTCTCATGTGAACAAGAGCCTAATCAGTCTCAATGTCCTGTCCACTTCCTCCACAGTGTATATCACTTCCACAGGAATAGTAGTCAATGCTGAGATGTCATTCCTGAACCTTTACTTCTTTCAGAAATTTTACTACTTGGGGTTACAAACATTACTTGCCTCCCATCAGCACAGCTACTGCCAGAATCTAGGGCAAGTCTTAGGGCAAATTTGTGCTTTTGTCTTGCTTCATGTGTTTGATTAATTTTTTTCAGATATTGGGTCCTTGGGGCCCTTTTAACGCTTGGAGTTGTTTTCATTTAACCTCAAGCTCATTAGCCCATAAAAGCTAAACTAAAGCAGAAGTATTAATTAATCAACTAAATAGCTAAAATTTGAGTTAAATGATGCAACTGAAAGACTAACTTGATATAAATAAGAGTGGCAACATGAGATGCTAGGAAAGAAACAGTTCAGACAATTTCACTCATTAGTAATGTCCACCCAGAACTCCCTTGCGGTTGCTCTATCCACCACATAAAGTAGCAAAAATACATTTTTTTTATCCCTCCCTAATTTACACTCATCTAAAAATCTCTTTTTAAAAAACCCTAAAATCCAAGCCAACATGTACACTAAGTTAAAGTCTGAATTAAAACCACAGTATCAAGAACATTCCAAATTCAGCTAGCAATTCAACGCAATATGCTTTCCTTTTGGGTACGTCTAAACTACATGCCTCTGTCGGCAGAGGCATGTAGATTTGTTTTTTTGGCAAAGGCAAATGAAGCCATGATTTAAATGATCGCGGCTTCATTTACATTTACATGGCTGCCGCGCTGAGCCGACAAACAGCTGATCAGCTGTTTGTCAGCTCGCGCGCTAGTCTGGACATTCCCCCTGTCGACATCAAAGCCCTTTGTAGGCAGCCCCGGTAAACCTCATCCCACGAGGAATAACGGGGCTGCTGACAAAGGGCTTTGATGTCAGCAGGGGAGCATCCAGACTAGCGCGCGAGCAGACAAACAGCTGATCAGCTGTTTGTCAGCTCAGTGCGGCAGCCATGTAAATGTAAATGAAGCCGTGATCATTTAAATCGCGGCTTCGTTTGCCTTTGCCTATGTGTCTAATCTACATGCCTCTGCTGACAGAGGCATGTAGTCTAGACACAGCCTTAGTATAAGTATTGTAATCTCCAAGGTGTGATACACAGATGGTATATGTTGAGAACAGGAACAGGGAACTAAAATGTTTTGTGGCCATTCTATGCAAAAGTGGTAGAGAAGAGGGGAAAGCTTTGGATTATCTGGAGAAGGTTAAGGCATATATTCCAGACTTCATCTCTGGATCTCAAATTCAAACACAAGGGAAAAATACTTCAATAGTTTCTAATGGTTCCTGCCAAATAATGTAAGGAAAAATGGTGAGACATAATTTAGAAAACCACCTCCCATGAAAGAACTAGACAACCTCACAGAAGTGATTTGAACAACCACAAATGAGCCTAGTGGTTTGGGCAAATGATGCATATGGGAAAAAGAGCACATCTGTAAAAGTGTCACTCAGTACCTCTCTCTGCTGCCTATCAGAAAGAGATGAAAAAGGCTGTTTGGGTTGCAATGGACATAGAAAGAAATAATTTTACAGGAAACAGACTTCTGGACCTTCGAGGAAGAATATTTCAGACTGCAAATGACAGAAATCAGTTGGCATTGATACGTTGTCATTATTCCTCTGTCTTGCAGTGGCTCCTGGAATCCCCAGCCAAGCCTGACACCCCACTGTGCTAGACACAGTCTCTGCTTCAAATAGCTTGCATTCTAAATGGGCAAGACATGCAAATAATCAAATTTCCATTTTAGAGACAGGGAATTGAAGCACAGAGAGCATGAATGACTTGCCCAAAGTCACACAGAAAATACATGGCAGGGTTTGGAGCCCAGATTGCCGGAGTCCCACGATCAGTATTTACCTCAAGATCAGTATTTACCTCAAGACTGTCCTTCCCTTGACACACTGTGAAAAATAAGACCCGTCTTTCCTCTACTAGCTATGTCATATTTCATTCAGTGAAATGATCCATTACTTATTAT